GGCATGTGTAGGGTCGTTCCCCCGTGTGGCTCCTCTGATGGCGAAGGAGCTTAGAGCTGTCGGCAAAGCTCTTCCCACACTGGAGGCATTTGTAGGGTCGTTCCCCCGTGTGGCTCCTCTGATGGCGAAGGAGCTTAGAGCTGTCGGCAAAGCTCTTCCCACACTGGGGGCATTTGTAGGGTCGCTCTCCTGTGTGGGTTCGCTGGTGCTCTAGGAGCTTGGAGCTTTCCGAGAAGCTCTTCCCGCACTCATCACATTTGTAGGGTCTCTCGTCCGTGTGGGTCCTGCAGTGCTTGATTAGGGTTGCGCGGTGCCCGAAGCTCTTCCCGCACTGGGCACATATGTAGGGTCGCTCCCCTGTGTGGCTCCTCTGATGGCGAAGGAGCTTAGAGCTGTCGGCAAAGCTCTTCCCACACTGGGGGCATTTGTAGGGTCGCTCTCCTGTGTGGGTTCGCTGGTGCTCTAGGAGCTTGGCGCTGTCAGCAAAGCTTTTCCCGCACTCACACCCATAGGGTCGCTCCCCTGTGTGGCTCCTCTGATGGCGAAGGAGCTTAGAGCTGTCGGCAAAGCTCTTCCCACACTGGAGGCATTTGTAGGGTCGCTCCTCCATGTGGGTTTGCTGGTGCCTCCTTAGGGTCGAGCTCTGCTTAAAGCTTTTCCTGCAGTCAGAACATTTATGGGGTTTTTCTTCCATGAGGGTGGGGTCGTCTTTACACTGGAATGAGGGGGTCTCTCTGCTGCCCACCAGCCCCGCTCTGATTCAGACTGGTGTCTCTCCCTGCTCAGGGCTTTGGGGTCTCCCCGCGAGTGGCCTGTGCAGCGCTGGTCTCCAAGTCCCGGCCTGATGGGGATTCCCTGATCCTTTGTTCCCACCTTCGGCACAGGAAGAAAACACCGCACAGCTGATCTAGAACCCGCCTCCGACTGCTGCCCCAGGGCGGGCTCGGCTGGGGGGACCCTGCTGGGCTCAGCAGCACAGACCCCCCCCGCGCTGCTCCAGAGCTGGAGGGAAGGGGGGGTCTCTCCAGTACCCCCCGGCCCTGCGAACACTTCCCCAGGCAGCGATTTCCTGCCTCGGCCTCTCCCCGGCGCCCCCACGCACCGCCCGGCCGGGCCGAGCTCTCCCTAGGCCCGCTGGCTGCAGACTGGGACTCGCCCCTCACCGCGCTGCGAGCCAGGCTCGGAACCCAGGCGTCCGGAGCGCTGCTGGGCTCGTACCCTGCTCCCGACCTGCCCTATTACAGCCCCGTTATGGCACCACGTGCCCCGGGAAGGGGCGGAGTTGAGATTAACCCTTCCCTGCCCGGACGTTGGGCTCAAGACTCTGGCGAGGGCGGGATATAGCTATCGGCTGGGCATTAGCGCGCCGCACCGTCATGCTTGGCCGAGCCCCAGGGGGCACTGGCAGGCTGCTAGCCCTTGTGGAAGGGAGCCCCGGCCGGGATCTCACCCAAGGCCTCATCCCTATGGATGTTCAAGCACAAATGGACACAGTCCCACAGGGATCCCTTATCCCAAGGGATGTGCAGCTGGGCGAGAAGTTGGGACCCTGAAGGTGCAGTGGCAGCAGCTGCACGGAATATTGGGGCCCTGAGGGTTCGAAGCAGGTGCACAGAATGTTGGGCCTCTGAGAGTTCTGAAACAACTGGATGGAATGTTGGGGCCCTCAGGGTTCTGAGGCAGTGGTGGGTGAGAAGTAGACAAACTTTATTCCACAGGAAGGGGTTTCATGCCTCAGACTTTGACCTGGGGAGGGCGGCGTGGGGGGTATCTATTGAGGCTCTCAGGATGGGGATGGTACAAGTCCGCCCATATCTAAGGCACCTCTCCTCCAGCCTAAGGCGGGGGGGGGAGAGCTACTGGACCCAACTTTCAAATGATTTTGAGGGACAACAAGTGGGGAAAAAAACAGGGATACAAGTCATAGGTTCAAAAACCTAGATCCAGCTGGGGCACCAAGCAGAGAACCCCGAACAGCGCTCACACCCATGCTCATGGCTCTGTGAAGAAGCGGCCAACTAATATCCCTGGTGGGCCGTGGGACCAGAGTGAAATATGCACTTGCCCACCAAAGCTCCTCACCCTCCACAAGGGATTGGAGGTCCCACCACTTAGTGCTGGGGCAGGACACAAGGCTGAGGAAGTGAAGGGTGTGGAGCACAAGCCTTGACAGCTATTCCAAGGCACAGTTCAGAGGTGGGCCGGACGCAGCTCAAAACCA